ATGTAAAAACAATTCGGCGGTAACATGTTATTCCAATTAGAAGCATTAGAGCTGCGCTTTATCCACCCCTTGGGGGTTGGATTAACCCGCGGCACCGAAGGAAGCGGCCCCGGCGGAGCAGCCCGAACTTTGGGGCAGCTCGGCCGGAGCGGTTGGATCTCCCGCAATAAGCAATAAGGCCGCGGCACCGGGGGCTGCGGGGGGTGCCGGGGGCTGACGCTGCTCCCGCACCCGGGGCCGCCCGAAGGGTTGCGGGGCCTTCCCCTCGCCAAAAGCAGCGGTGTCCCCGGCGCCCTGAGGGATCCCAGGAGCGTCCTCAGCGATCCGCTTCTCCTCGGCGGATATTTGGGAAGAAAGCGCTAATGGGCAATCTGGTGTTTATTTTGAAAGTGCTAACAATGATTTTTCTCTGGTAAAAAGGCAGTGTCTGGGAACACACGGCTCAGTGGGCTTTGAGCACGGGTCCGCCAGATGGTGCGGGGCTGGAGGTGCGCGCTCCGCTCCGCTGTAGGGCCGGGAGCGGCGAGGCGACGCGGCCGGGAACCGCAGCCCGCCCTCGGTGCCACCCTGGTGCCACCCGGTGCCATCCCGGTGCCAGCCCCGAAGCGCTGGGCTCAGCCGGGAGCCGCCCGCAGCCACGAGGCGCAGCGCGGGGCCGTCAGCGCCGCTTACCGCAGCCACAGAACTTCGGGGCTTGTTACTTCGCCTCCGATGAAACCACGTCTTTAGGAGTGATTTATTTTTTATTTTGTTGCACAAACAGAAATCCATAAGCTGTCGGTTCAGCGCCATTGACTCTTTGATCAGCTCCGGGCTCTGTTTTGCCTCCCGTCAGGGAGGGCGGATTAAAGCCGTTATTTCAGCTCCGAAGGTGCGGAGCGAAAACGCACGGTAAAGCGCACCGACACCGGCCCCTCTTCGCCCCTTTATAGACCAGAAACGAAACCCAGAGCCGCCTACAGGAGCCCCTTAATTGCACCACTACAGCGGTTTCCGAAAGCGTTTAGCTCTTATATACAAAGGAAATAAACCCACATTGTCAACTCGAGAGCGCTCCAGAGTTTACAAGGGCTCCTCTGTAACCCATTGAAATAATTCTCGGAGGGAGCGACGCCTCCGCCTTTGTCACAGCGCTGCGCTCCGCTCCGCTCGGAGCCCCGCACCATCCCGCTGCGGCCGCCCGGAGTCGGCCCCGCACGAAGGGAAACTTTGGGGCCCCGCACCGCTCCGGGCCGCTCCTCGCGGGGAGGGCCAAGAAGTTGGCTATAAAAAACCCTCCCGAAGCTGAGGATCCCGCGGGGCGGTGCGGGAGGCAGATCGGAGGCGCGGTTCTCATTTCCATCCCTGGGATCTGATTTCCAGAGTACTGTAAATCATTCCCCGTTCTCACCTCCTCCTCTTACTGCCCCTCTACCGCCTCCTCCCCCCCTCCCCTAAAAAAAAATATATATTTTTTGAAGTGCCTCTCCGAAAAAAATATTAATAAAAAGTTGATGAAATTCAAAGCCCGCGAGCGGCTCTCTGGCTTTAATTGCTGCGGAGCAAAGCGATGCTGCTCTCACGGAGTTATCAGCGGAAAAGTTGTCCAAGACAGGTTAAATAATTGAATAAGGAACCGCTTGTAATTATGTTATTTACAAGGGCTGACAGAGGGTTGGGGAGGAAACAGGAGCTGCGCGCAGGGAGCGGCGGGTTGGGGTGACCCCTGGAGCACGGAGTTTGAATTATGGAGATGGGGGGCTGCGGGGTGAGCGCGGACCAGAGGCGAACAAGCTGACTTTTCACCTCGGCACATTTAACTTTTAAATCCGAGGGAGCGTCTCGCGTTACTCCGTGGCCGAGGTATAAAAGAAGGGGGGACGGGCGGGGGGGGGGGGGAAGAAAAGGGCGAAGCGTGGCCGGCAGGAGGGCAGCCAGAAAAATATCAACCCCCCAAAAAAAAAAGGAAAAATAAAAAGTTATAAAGGAGTTAAAAAAAAAAAAAAAAAAAAAAAAAGTGCTTTTAAAAATAAATCTGGGCAACTGGCTGGGGTTATTTTCCCTTTCTCCTCTACCCCTCGCTAAACGAACGCTAACAGACACGGCAACGAGCATCTATCGAGGCCACATCGCACCCGCTGCCCCACCGCTGGCTGATGCGGCCCCGGGGTGCCCGGATCTGACAGCGGGGAGCTCCGCGCGGCCCCCCCGGCACGGCCCGACCCGGAGCAGCGCGGCTCTCACCTGTTTGGTCATGGAGTCTATGAGGCGCACGTAGAGGTCCTGCTCCGTCCTCACTCCTGCGGGGAAGCAGAGAGAAATCCGCGTTAGAGTTTCCCACGGAGCCGAGCGGGGTTACATCGCGCCCGGCTTGCAATTAAAATGGAAAGGAGTGGGGATGGGGGGGAGAGGGGGAAGGGAGAGAGAGGGGGAGAAAAAAAAATCAAAATAAAAATAAGAAATGGGGAGGAGGAGGGAGAGCTGCCCGCACGCGGAGCGGGGCGGGGGGGCCCGGGGCGGC